TTCTGACATGATAGATTATTATTATTATTATTATTATTAGTAATAGTAGTAGTAGTAGATGGGCTCTGCAGCCTTTCAGGCATTTCTAGCATTGCAGTAAGTCAAAATCTCAATGGAGTATTTAGAAAGTGAACGTAAACATTGGAAAAAAGGAGCAAGCAAAGCGACTAAAGAAATGCAAACGCAGCAAAGAGAAGAATTGTAGGGTTTCAGTGTTTCATTCTCTGCAATTCTAGAAATTGGGGCACTGAAGGATAACTTCATGGGGAAAAAAAATCTTATTCAGAGCATTGATGTCCTAATTTTTCTACCTTGATCCAGCCTTCCTTGCGACGTCTCCCTCAAATCCTCCTTTTCCTTGGTTATCGCTGTCTCAATCTCAACCGGTGTTAAACAACACCCCTGTGTCCTGCCTTGGAACAAACCACACACAGAGTAGGGACGGGAAGATACTCATAATTATTCTTTTACTAGATCAAAACACGAGTTTCCTGACAGTTGAGAGGCCCAGTTGGGAAGAATAACATTTCGGCACAATTTTTGCTCTGCTCTCGCCTTGTGTTCAAACACCCTGAACCGTTGCAGAAAAAATATTCTGCAGGGAAAAACATGATTTCACAGAAAACACTCCTTCCTGCGCTGGAAGCCTGTTTTCTATCTACGGTTTATTTTTGTATAAAACTCTCTCCCCATATGTTTTGTTCAACAATGTTTTGGGATGTTGAAGTAGGGGGTCAAGACTGCAGAGGAATATTGCAGCGGGGAGGAAACTACTGCATGTGAGAAGGAAACGGTGAAGGATTTATGTTCCTCATAGAGCAGGCATGGGTAAACTTCGGCCCTCCAGGTGTTTTGGACTCCAACTCCCACAATTCCTAACAGCCGGTAGGCTGTTAGGAATTGTGGGAGTTTAAGTCCAAAACACCTGGAGAGCCGAAGTTTGCCCATACCTGTAATGGCGCAATATGGCACCCAATAGACAATCTAGAACAAGCTTCCCCAAACCAGTGCTTTCCAGATGGTTTGAGTTACAACTCCCATCATTCCCAGACAGCACCGCCATTAGGTTGGGATTGAGGAAGGCTGATCTAACCTAATGGTTTAATATAAACTGATTTGAATGTAGAAAGATATGTGCACACAACTCAGAGCAGTGAAATGTGCACGTCATCTGTGAAAGAATATTTGACTAAGATTGAGGAATCCTGAATCCATAGTTTTGCTCAGCCATTAACTTCAGTGGATGACCATCGGAAACTCATTTTAGCCATGTTCAACCCTTCATAGGGAAGCAGAATTGACTTTGCACTGTGAAAGACCACTGGTGTATCCAGCATAGTCAGCCATTTGAATTTACGGGATTGGCCTTTTGCGGATTTGATTATTCATGGATTTGATCAAAACATTCCCTCTAGGAACCTCTAGGTCATCCATTGTGGCACTATACCCAACCTTCTCTTGTCATGCTGGGAGACCTAGATAGATACTGCTGGAAAGAATGCCTCTTTAGGAATCTGTAGGTCCTCCAGTACATTCTGTGGTTGGGTTCAAGAAAAAGTTGACCATTGAATTGTGCTGGAGGACCTAGAAATTGGGTTGTTGTAGGTCTTTCGGGCTATATGGCCATGTTCCAGAGGCATTTCTCCCGACGTTTCGCCTGCATCTATGGCAAGCATCCTCAGAGGTAGTGAGGTCTGTTGGAACTAGGAAAAAGGGTTTATATATCTGTGGAATGACCAGGGTGAGACAAAGGACTCTTGTCTGCTGGAGCTAGGTGTGAATGTTTCAACTGACCACCTTGATTAGCATTTGATTGCCTGGCAGTGCCTGGAGCAATCTTTTGTTGAGAGGTGATTAGATGTCCTTGTTTGTTTCCTCTCTGTTGTTGTGCTGTTCTAATTTTAGAGTTTTTTTTAATACTGGTAGCCAGATTTTGTTCATTTTCATGGTTTCCTCCTTTCTGTTGAAATTGTCCAGATGCTTGTGGATTTCAATGGCTTCTCTGTGTAGTCTGACATGGTGGTTGTTGGAGTGGTCCAGCATTTCTGTGTTCTCAAATAATATGCTGTGTCCAGGCTGGTTCATCAGGAGTCCCAGAGAAGTCCGCCATAGCAGAGCACCTGATGAACCAACCTGGACACAGCATATTATTTGAGAACACAGAAATGCTGGACCACTCTCACAACCACCATGTCAGACTACACAGAGAAGCCATTGAAATCCACAAGCATGTGGACAATTTCAACAGAAAGGAGGAAACCATGAAAATGAACAAAATCTGGCTACCAGTATTAAAAAAACTCTAAAATTACAACAGCACAACAACAGAGAAGAAACAAACAAGGACATCTAATCACCTCTCAATAAAAGATTGCTCCAGGCACTGCCAGGCAATCAAATGCTAATCAAGGTGGTCAGTTGAAACATTCACACCTAGCTCCAGCAGACAAGAGTCCTTTGTCCCACCCTGGTCATTCCACAGATATATAAACCCTTTTTCCTAGTTCCAACAGACCTCACTACCTCTGAGGATGCTTGCCATAGATGCAGGCGAAACGTCAGGAGAAATGCCACTAGAACATGGCCATATAGCCCAAAAAAACCTACAACAACCCAGTGATTCCGGCCATGAAAGCCTTCGACAATACATTGACCTAGAAATTCCTGGAGAGGTGTTCTTGTAGGTTAAAAAAGCCATTCATGGTTTCCCCACATTTATGGGGCTCCTGTGCCCTTAACCCCAACAAATATGGAAGCCTGTGCATTATCAACTCTGATGGGCAGCTTTCTCCTTAGGGAGACCTCTTTCATGTCTCATTTGGAAGACCTTGGTGGTCTCCTTACTAAGTCCTATCCCTCCTTAGCATTTGGAATCAAACTTGATTAGAGTGGTCAATATCCACATCGCAAGATTGGATAAAATGGAATAGCCTTACAGACAGAATCCTGTTGGGGCTAATGCTGGTGAAATCCCATCACACTATTAAGGAATGTTGTAGTAGGAGGTAACCTGGACCTCCTTGTGTCAGATTTGAAAAAACGTAGTTTCCAGAGTGTAAACTCCCTCCTCCAATGATTGGCCAGGTGTGTACTGGGACAGCCTTCTGTTTTTCCTGCTCTCCCAGATATGTAAAGGCAGGTGGACAACTCCCTGATACAACAAGGTGGCCCTTCTATAGGGGGCAAGAAGAAGTCATCAACTAGCCAGACCACTGGCAGAGTTATGTCAATAGAGTAGGCATCCTCAAACTGGGGCCCTCCAGTTGTTTGGGCCTTCAACTCCCAGAATTCCTGACAATTGAACAAGCTCATTAGGGCGCCTGGGAGTTGGAGGCCCAAACAGCTGAAGGGCCACAGTTTGAGGATGCCTGCAATAGAGTGTTATGCTCCACTAGTGGTCTTATTGGATGTCAACCATCGTCTGTCACCTCTCTCAATCTGTGCCCATGCTTGTTGACATTTCCCATGCCATGCCACCCTACCCTCCCATACAGTTTCTGCACCACCAACACAAATGTGATGGAGCAACATGGCCAGTCAGCTCCAATGAGGGAGCATCCACTGTGTCGTTCCACTTCTCATGCTACAAACATATACTCAAGCTTCTCAAATCCAGGGTTTCTTTTCTGAGAAGCTCCATCACTTGAGATCTTATGAACCTAAGTCCATTATAATCCAGTTCTCAAGGGGGAAATGTGTACTTTTTTTTTCTTCCTGCAGATTTTAAATAGGAACGAAATGTAATAAATATATAGCTGTTCTTTTCATCCTCCTTTCGGTAGGCCCGAGAGCTTTCCAAACTGTGTCCCTACTTGGGGTTTTTGGATCACCTCATTGAGTAGATCAGTAAAGGCAGACGAGCTTCCCTGAATGAAAACTTGGCCTTGCTCTAGGTCAGTTTCCCCACCATCTCTTAAACTGGAAGTCTCCAGATGGATTGTATTACAAGCTCACATCAACACAAGCCAAGCTTGGAAACAATACAACGTGTAGCTCAACAGATCTGGAGAGAACCAACTTGGAAATAGGGGCTGTTTTAGGGAATATGGTCCATTAATAGTGATGTCTAGACAGTGTGTGTGGATAAAAGCCCACTTTGGACCAGCCTCCCTTAGAATGTGCAGGGGTACCATGGTGGAGAATGGACTTGTGTTCCCTGAAAGAAGGATGATGTTAAAAACACAATGCTCTAAGCTAAATGTGTCAGGCCATCTCCTTCACTTTCATCTTGACAATGTTGTCACCTAGATCCTTTACCATTATTGTCTTTCTGTTCTCAGTTTCTGGAGGTTCCTTCCCATCGTCCTCCACGTTGAGCTAGAACTCCAAAAAACTGCCGAATAGAGCACAACAGTGATTTCCGGAGCCTTGGGAGTTTTGCTCTTGTTGGTAGAAAGTGATCAGCCAATGGTTCATTCCAACGCACCATCAACCCATTACTCAAGAGGCCTTCTTAGATTCTTCCCACATAAGCATTACCTCCAAGGCTGAAGAAGTTATCCATATACTGTTGACACTGAGTGGCAACTGATGGATTCCATGTTGGTTAGGGTCTGTGAATCTCCTCTGGGCTTTACTCCAAAAAATAAAGGCGTATCTAAGGTACTGACTCTTTAATGTTCAGCACCTGGTTCAGCCCTTCCAAAGTTTGGGCCAAAACCGAGACTGGATTCAGCATACCTGGCTGGGGAAGCATCAGCTGTCACTCTACCCATCTTAGACAACTCCACCCCAAAAAAGCCAACCCATTGGTCATGTAAGAGTTAGCCATCTGTGTCAACTGGCAACCCTTGGTTTGCTAGCCTTTTGAAATGGAGAGGTACAATGCTAGCTGCCCGCCTCCCCATTTGACCCATTTGTGTGTCTCCTTGTGAGTCTGTGTGTGGTGGTCTTGGTATGCTTTGTGCGTCTAGGGTCGTGGGGAGTTGGCCTGCTGACCTGGGAAGGGGAGGGGGTCTCCTGAGGAGACGAGAAGGCTCTCGCCATCAGAAACACAGCTGTGGTCTTGGGCAGTGTCTGCCCTTTTTTTCGGTTATATTTATAGAAGTACATATACACAATATATTTATATATAAATACTGATGGGCCTAGAACCCATGGATGCATGGGGCGGGGGGAGCTGTCGATGGAAGGGCCCCGAGCCTGCAGGACAGTGAGAAAAGCTCATGGAAAAAGGCTTGGGTCAAGGGGAGAGGAGCTGGGGAGAGGGGAGAATGCTCACCAACCGAGCTGGGACCAAAGGTTATAAGAAGAGAGTCAGAGGAAGGGAAGAGAAGGACGAGGAGGACGGGCTGGCTGGCTGGACCAGAAGGGAGTGATTTGGCAAAGGCCCGTCACCTCCGAATCCTGCTAAAAGTGATACGTGAGGGAACCAGAATGTTGTTTTGTCATGTCTGTCTGGCATCAGGTCCATGGATTGCAAGAGGGGTTTGTTTCGTTTCCTTTAAAAAAGAAGATTATTTTGATTATTTTTCTTGCTGAAGAGACTGCGGCAAGGCTTAGTGTCACCCTTCCCGGAGAGGTGCTGGAACACACAGGCCACGGATCTCAGCGTGTGCTGTGTGTTCGGTCTGTTTGGGGACTGGTTAGAAAAGCCGCTTCCCCTCGCCCCTTCACAGTCTGGTCTGGGCTTCCGGGATGTAGATCTCAATGCTGTCCGCACTCTCGGTGGCCGAGCTCTGGCGGAATGAGGCGGCACGCTTGGCCGCCAAGAGCCTCTTGCGGGCCTCCTGCCTTTGCCGGTCGACGGAGTCCAGGGATCGGTCCTTCACTGGGTGCAACCGGGAGCGTGGTGGCTTCTTTGGTATTGGCGGAGGCACCTTCTTTTCCTCCTGGTGAAAAGAAAGAGGGGAAGTTAGGAGAAAAAGGAGGGATTCAGGAAGAGCAAAGTGGCATGGTGTTGCTAGGCTCCCAGCTTACTTTCAGAGCCTTTCTATTGGAAATTCCATAACCTATTGGAAATAAGTGCACCATAACCTCATCGAAAAGGTAAAAATGATGTCACATACACTGAAGCCGAGCATGCCCCCCCCCCATAAGAGATAGTAACTTATAGTTCTGCAAAGGGCAAGGGCACCAGACTGCACAATAGGGGTTGAGTCTTGGTCAATATGCAAAGACACTAACAACAGCAAGGACCCCATGAGGCTTTCAGGGAGTAGATTGGTCCCTGGGCTCCAGCTGATGGAAAGAGTTACAGTTTTCCAAGGACCATGGGACCGACTTCCATCCCAGCGCTGCAGGGCTTTGTGTTTTGGCCCAGTGGAACTCCATAGACTCCTTTTGGTGGCTTTTTGATTTCTGCTACATTCCTGGACTTCATTCTCTTCAAGGACTCGCTCTCTACTAGGCTTGGGTAACCACGGAAAAATTTGGTTCTAAACTCGTTTTGTTTTTAGGGAGCCCTTGCGTTTCGTTTTTTTAATAATTCCGAAATTTACCTTAAAAAAAATTCAAAATTTACGAAATTTCGTAAAATTACGAATCGATTCGTTAATGGCGGACGAGATTGCGCAATATGCTAAAAAAACCTCCAAATGGGACAGGAGGAACTTCTGAAGCTTCCCTCTCCCTCTGTTGTTGACTGTTGGTGTGATAAAACAAACAACAACTATAAAACTTGCACCAGACATGCGAAAATAATTACGAAATAATTACGAAATAAATTGAAAAAAAATGTTTCGAATCTTATTTACTCCTCACACTATTCCTGCATGGCTCAATATTGGATCGTAAGCTAATTTAAATACTAATTAATAACGAATTACGAAATTAACGAAGGAAACCGCCCAAGCCTACTCTCTACCCATGAACTTTCTTCAAGACAACTTATGAATTCATGCTGTGTCCTGATATCGTCTGCTTTTTATAATTGGTATTATTAATTTCTCTCTGGGGTCCTGGATGGGAAGATACCTGCATATGATTTCCCTGTGTATAATTTCTATATGATTTTTTTTGTTTCCTTGTATTCCTGACTCTAGCCTGACCCTTTCCCCTCTTCTCCCTCCAAAGAAATGTGTAAGGGGATCACCTGGCCTTAAGCCATTAGCGATTACAGAAACCCCCCAGCCAAAGACACTCTTGCATGGATAATAGGAAAGGATTCTTATTTCCAGCATTGGAGATGGCCCACTAGAGTAAAGAATTGTTTGGCAAAGTTTCTATCACTCTTCGAGTAAGATAAGGGGAAATCTTCCCCTCTGCTTTTTGTTTACTTCCCATTGACAGCATTAACCCCAGGCTGCCCTCATTGTTCTCGTCTCACAGCCAGGAAGGATCTGGATATTTTTACCCATGCTGATTTACAACACTCATGAACACAATAGATCGGCCCTACTTGAGACTTCCTTTTTGTCTCGCGAGCCACATGGCATTAATTTTTTCAAAACTAATTCACAGATTTCTTTGTGTTCTATCGTCCCGCCTCCCTCTCTCCTGATTTGCTGTCACTGCCAGGCGGCAGAGGTCTCCCCATTGGATCCTATGGACCACTGGAGCTTCCTGATTGGTCCAGAGGCACCGGGGGCAGGAGGGCCACCTCCCAGCTGTTTGCCCATCGTCCAATCATGGTGGAGGGCAGCAGGGAGGCCGGGACGGGAAGTTTGAACTCTGCAACTTTGAATTTACTATAAATATGACTGTATTGGCGTATTCTCCTCATGCTCTGCTGGCGAATAATTGCAGCTCTGCATCCTTTTCAGCTGAATCGCAAATAAAACCTTGACGGCTTTTCTTCAACTTGGTGAGACCTTTCATTGGGAAATCAGGGAAAAATATTGGGTGCTTCTCTGTCTCGCCAGGGAAAAAGAACTCTTTGATGAGTCTAATTGGTCTCTGCCTCCTGGCAAAGACCCCTAAATTCCAGCTCTAGATCATCATTAGGCAAATGTGAATCTCCATGAATATGTGGAGACCATTTTTTTAAACCACTAGTCAAGAAAAGCATGACCTTGTTAGAAGTCAACTCTTTTAACAAGTGATATTCACAAGGTTGTGTAAGTTTTTGGGGCTGTGTGGCCATGTTCCAGAAGCATTCTCTCCTTTTTAAAAAATTTATTTTTTCTTAACAAATACCAACAAAATCCATCAACACACACCAACAGCCTTTGATACAATAGACAAGGTTATAGGTAAAATATTTGAAAGAAAGAAAAGAAGAAAGAGCAATAATAATAATAATAATAATAATAATAATAATAGAAAGAATACAAAAATTAGCATAGACACTCTCTACACACCAACATAGATACAATATATATATCTATATATATAAAAATGTTCTGTGCGTAATGAGTACCTTAAAAACAAAAGAACCAATGAACGAAATCACACCAAATTTGGCAACAAAATGTCTCACAACTCAAGGAGTGACCATCACTCAAAAAATTATGATTTTGTCATTTGGGAGTTGTAGTTGCTGGGATTTATAGTTCACCTACAATCAAAGATCATTCTGAACTCCATCAACGATGGAATTGAACCAAACTTGGAACTTCCATTACCAACAGAAAATACTGGAAGGGTTTGGTGGGCATTGACCTTGAGTTTGGGAGTTGTAGTTCACCTACATCCAGAGAACACTATGGACTCAAACAATGATGGATCTGGACCAAACTTGGCACAAGCACTCAATACGCCCAAATATGAACACAGATGGAGTTTATGGAAAATAGACCTTGACATTTGGGAGTTGTAGTCACTGGGATTCACAGTTCACCTACAATCAAAAAGCATTCTGAACCCCATGAACAACAGAATCGGGACAAAGTTCCCACACAGAACCCCCATGACTAACAGAAAATACTTAAGGCCATCCAATCCAACTCCCTTCATCAGGGCAAGAAAATGTAATCAAAGTCCTCCTTACAAAGAGCCATCCAGCCATAGATATAGATAGATATGATTCACACAGAGAGAGATATAGTATCATAGATTTGAAAGGGACCCTTAAAGAAGAACAATGGTATGTTGCATTTTCCAGGGTGGGCAAACCAGACACTCTCCACATCAACACTGACAAAGAAACAGCAAGGAATACTGTTTACCCACAAGCAGAAAGAAATTACATATATTAGAAACCAACACTTTCTCGTTACTTTATTTTCCAGATCAACAGACTGGGCCACAGCAACGCGTGGCAGGGGACAGCTAGTTATTCATATTGCTTCCAGACTGCTTAATGTGGTAGTACTTATTTCTATACATTGACTTCCTTTCCACTTGTTTATGTCCTTGTACATATAACTTATGTTTGGCCCTAAGGATTTCTTTATTTCACTTTTATGAACATTTGTAGTTGCGGATTTTTAAAGAAATTAATAAAGTTGTTCCGATTTGTTTTGTTTTAAATATTTCTGTTCTGAGCTATGTTTTGGGTCAATAGATCCATATTCATGATATCTAATACTTTCTCAAGGGGCCCCCGGTGGCTCAGTGGGTTAAAGCACTGAGCTACTGAGCTTGTTGACCAAAAGGTTGCAGGTTCGATTCCAGGGAGCGGCGTGAGCTTCTGCTGTCAGCCCTAGCTTCTGCCAACCTAGCAGTTCGAAAACATGCAAATGTGAGTAGATCAATAGGTACCGCTCCGGCGGGAAGGTAACGGCGCTCCATGCGGTCATGCTGGCCACATGACCTTGGAGGTGTCTATGAACAACGCTGGCTCTTCGGCTTAGAAATGGAGATGAGCACCACACCCCAGAGTCAGACATGACTGGACTTAATGTCAAGGGACAACCTTTACCCTTTTACCTAATACTTTCTCAATCCACCCATTCGTTGTAGCTGTTTCTTTAGCTTTCCAGAAACAAGCTATGCTTATTCTTGCCGCTATAGCAAGGTAGAAGAAGGTCTTATCACTATTTCTACCAATTTGGAAATCTATAATTCCCAATAAATTCCCAATTCCCTTTTTTCTCTTCAGAGCTTATAAATCTTTTGCCTTTTACAGAAGCATTCTCTCCTGAAGTTTTGCCTGCACCTATGGCATGAATCCTTAGAAGCTGTGAGGACCTCACAACCTCTGAGGGTGCCTGCCATAGATGCAGGCAAAACATTAGGAGAGAATGCTTCTGGAATATGGCCATACAGACCCAAAAACTTACAGCAACCCAGTGACTCCAGCGATGAAAATCTTGGAGTTGTAGTTCACCTACATCTAGAGAGCACTGTGGACTCAAACAATGATGGATCTGGACCAAACTTGGCACGAATACTCAATATGCCCAAATGTGAACACTGGTGGAGTTTGGGGAAAATAGAGCTTCACATTTGGGATTCGTAGTTGCTGGGATTTATAGTTCACCTACAATCACAGAGCAATCTCAACTCCACCAACGATAGAATTGGGCCAAACTTCCCACACAGAATCCCCATGACCAACATAAAATAACGTGTTTCCTGATGATCTTTGGCGACCCCTTTGACACCCCCTTGCAACCCCCTCAGGGGTCCCAACCCGCAGGTTGAGAAACCCTAGGGTAGAGTGATAAGCAACAGCTAGAATCATATTTGGACGAGACCCTCAGAACTATCCAATCCACCGCCTTCTGCTAGGAAGGAATACCCAATCCAAGCACTCCTGACTGATGGCCATCCCTCCTCCATTTCAATACCCCTAGAAAAGGAGACTCAATCTTATTCCAAAGTAGCATATCTCACCACTAAATGGCTCTTTCTACTAGAGTTTTCTTCCCTAGGATTCAAGTGGAATCACTTTTTCTGAAGCTTGAATCCAGCAGGAAACAAACTCTTTCCGTCTCCAATATGACCACCTCCTACACAACCAAGGTACAAGAACCCTAGGCTTCATGCCACAAAGTTCATTTTTTTT